TATCTGTAAGCCATAATCATCAAAATTACAAGAAATACAGGCTTGAAAGATTTCACTTTATGTGTAATGAAACTATATAATATTCACTTTCTGAAATGATTGACAAAATTTTTTGAGCTACCTGTATGTGTGATTGTCAGCACACAGCATTGGAGGGGCAGGGCGAGGAGGAGATTGTCCACGTTAGTAAATCGCAAATGCCGTCGGTCTGATTGTACATCTGTTTTTGCCTCCTACATATTAAGTACTTTCAATACCATTGAATGTATAACAGAGATTGTATCGTTTTAAACACCCAAGTATGTTTGCACACATGACTTTCCTCCACAACTTTGGTGTACTCAGTACTAAAATAGGGGGTCTACTTACATAAGAAGAGTCAAACTCGCTGCCAAAAGGGTGGATCTTAACTGCAACAAAGAAGAAAGAGATACAGTTAGGAGACAGAGACAACAGCATGCTTACTATAACCAAGGTTCAAGGTTACTTTATTTGTACCCAAAGGTAGCTTTGGTTTGCAGTAAAAGACAGGGCAACAACTCAGAAAATAGAACAGAATACCATAATACAAACGTTTAAAATTGAGCTGGTTATCCACTGTACCTGTCTGCTGTACAGGGATTTTGGGTTAAGCTGTGACTCACCAAGCAGCCTACTACACCATTTAACAATCTGATTCAGGGAGTTTCTGTTCTTAAAGAAAAGGTTTCCAAACAATGACACAAAAGAAAAAGAACTGATTCAATAAAAGCACAACAAAAGCACAATAAAACAAGGTCATGATGGTTGTGTCGATGTGGAAATAGGACAGTTTCCTGAAACAAAACAAACGCTGGTGCCAAGATATTTGTGCAATTGCACACATTCCATTGTCTGACTCTTGATGGATGTGACTCCGTGTATGTGGGCATGTTTTCTAAAATAAATTATCATGTCTTTTTTTGGGGGGCTTTTATTGCCTTTATGATAGAGACAGGAAAGGGGGGCAGAGAGAGGGGATGACACGCCAGCAAAGGGCCGCAGGTCGGATTCCAAACCCTGGGGCCGCATCAAGGGACTCGGTACATGGGTCGCCAGCTCTACCCACTGAGCTAACCAGGCGCCCCGATGTCTTTTTGTTTTTGATATGTTTAATTGAAGATAGAAGCATTTCACAAAGTCATTGTTGACTGGTCTCATGCTCTGCTTTTTGCTCTCATTGTCCTGGAGTCGACTAACAACAACAGAGTCATCTGCATACTATAAAATGGTTCTGTTTTCCCACCTGCTTTGACACATATTTGTGTAGAGGATAAATAACAGGGGTGAAAGCACACATCCTTGTGGGGAGCCAGTGGAGGAGAAAACTCGATCCAAACAGAGTTCCATTTACCCTCACTCTCTGTGTCATTTTCTTTTTTCTTTGTGTTGGTTAAAAAGTCCAGATCCAGCAAACTGCATGGGATCAAGTGCATGCTCAGTTTTTCTTAAAATTTCTGTCTTCTTGTGATTGGAGCAAAACAAAATATAGTTTGACTGGTTACTTTATAGATTTTACCAATAAGAATATATTTCATCTGGCGTATTAGCATCTCATTATCCAGTTTTTAGGGCAATAAAATATTTGATGTTTTCTTGTAAACAAATACAGTCTGTGTTTGCATTCAGTTTCTCACCAAAACCAACTGTGTGTATCTCTTAGATCTTAAGAAGGTGCTGAATGTGTATCACATCACCCGCGTGTGCGTGCACAGACGTCATTTCGTGCATGCACAACATTTTTTAGCATCTATAAAACTAATCAGAACTGTAAAAGATATGAAAGATATTACAAGTGCGATATGAATTACAATGAGTTGGAATGATCATTTTTGCATCAGAACTTTAAATATCTATTACAATTGTGATGATGTGACATTTGTTGCAGTCTATACCAAACAAACACGATTTGTAGGCCAGGGCATCTCTGTGGAACTACAGTACTTCTTTATAAATGCTGTCTGTCACACATTATACCTTTCTCAAACAATTGTACCTTCTATGATTTGGATTTTGCACTTGGAGATACTGTGATTTCAATAATATTCAGATTAATTGTGTAGCCCTAATCCTTATGTGAATCATTTCACCTTAATTTTAATGACAGTATGAACATTATTGATTAATATTATTCTGCCTTTCTTCATCATAGTGTTGTCAATATTGGTTCATTATGGGTAATCTCCCAAGCGAAGGCTGCAGTCCACACAGAAACTATGCTGAGAGTAAATTCAAGAACCCTTTAAAGTTCAGCAAAGTCTGATCATTGGTATTCATCCATACATTAAGGAAAGTGTGTGAAAGTTTGGGCCAGCAAGGAGCCTGGAGACTAGAGTCTGATGGTTTGGTATGTTTTTTTAGACCGATAACACAACCAATTATTGAAGGGGAAGTTCACCGATTACCAATATGTCTGCAGAAACATCACACATCAGGAACAACCATTTAAACTTGGGATCTAGATTGGACAGAAAACATTTGTGGCAACATTTCTTTAGAAGGAGATGGATTAGGTTCCTGTAAGATAGCTAGCTGGCTTTGGCTATTACAAAGCAATTATAGTGATTGCACCAGCATGAAAAAAGATGGAAAACAGGAGTGTGGACCCTGACCTGTGCTCTGGGTTTTCCTTTGATGACAAGATATTGTCACTGGTTGTGAGGGTCAGTCTACTTTGTTCAGGCTTTTCTTAAGTTACATGTAACTTAATATAAGTTCACATAAGTTGGGTAGCTAGTGCTAGCTATTGAACTGCAGGCTAGTGGTCGACCAGTATGGACTTTTCTATGGCTAATGCCGATATTTAGAGATTAGTGCGGCCAATGTCAAATGCCAAAACAGAAACAAAGTTCAGTCATGTACGATTCCATTATTCCATGCACATTGAACTAGGGTTGAGGGATAAAACGATCTTGGTAAAAGACTGCAATAGAAATTGTGTTCATAACAATGATAAACTCTGCAATTTTTTTCTCAATATGAATAGATCTAACACCCCATTCACATAGGCCGCCTGAGCAGCGTGTGGCGACTCTGGCACATGGTGGCGCCACGCACTACTCAGGCAGCTGAATGGGGTGTAACAGCCTATGACGTAGCAGATATGGCCAATTGGCTTGCATGTCAAAGTACACGCCCATTTCCTACAGCAAAGCATTGTTTCAGCTACAGGTGAAGAAAGTGAATGTTAAAGTGGATGTTCTCTAGAAATGGGACTGAAACTGACTTTAGGATATACTTTACTGGAGTCAATGGTGACTACATCAGATTTCCACACAGTCTGCATCCTGCTCAGAGTTCAGTTATAAAATCCCAGCACACCATGGAGTGTCTCCACCGCTGTCAGCGGAAGAGTCACTCAGTGGATGGCAGCAGAAGAGGTTCTATCACCATCTGGTTCACACGTGTTTTAGTCGATTTCACTGCAGTAGCAACAGTCAGCACCAGAGCAAACACAGGGTTACCACTCAATTAAAAACTGTTTCCAGGCCTTTCCAGGACATTTGCTGGATTTTTTCTTGACAATACAGAGTATGCTCACAAACGGTGGCAGCCATCAGCTGCTCATCATCTTAAGGACACTGCCCATATGGTGCGCGGCTTGGGGTTCCTCACCAAAGCTCTTTTTTTTTTTTTTTTTTTTCCCCCACACTCAGTTTCTTTTTAACGAAAATTAATTTGGCTACAGAACAGCGCTACAAAAGACAATTTCAAATTTTCAGCTTATTTCAGGATATTTGGTCATTTTAACCCATTTCCAAGTGTTTCCATGACTGGAAAACTAGTCTCTATATTTTCCAGGTTTCCAGGATGCATGGGACTGGAGTCACTCAGGATCTTCTTGACTGATGGTTTTAATCATAGACTTTTCCAGGGCAGCCCTATTTCCATTTAATGTTTACATTAACATATCACATAGAATAACATAAACTATAAATTTAACTCTGGTTTGATAAGCCTTCAGTCATTATCAGGATACTTTTCAAACAGGCAGCATTATGAAATTACATGGTGATAAATATCCACATGTAAAAAAATGTTATTGTGATCATATTTTTTTCCGTATCTCCAAGCCCTACGTTACAATCTAATATAGATGTTTATCTTTGCTGGTAACATGTTGCATTAGGTGGAATTTTATTACCGTAATTGATGTAATAGAAAAATACATCAGGTTATACTGCAGATTTCAGAACACAACTGGTGATCTACACATTACAAATGAATATATATTAAAAAAAGATCCAGTGTGTAGGAGTTAGTGAAGTTTCAGATTGCAACCAACTGAATACCACTCACCTCACCCTGCCAACAAAGTGTGTAGGAAAACCTGCTCCCTCTGAGGATAAAAATGGCTCATTGAAGTAACGAAAACAAAATGATTCTTATTTTCAAGTGAGGATACATATACTAATGTTATACTGCTATTTATGTATTATATTCCATTTCTTACAATAGAAATGTTGGACACTGGACCTTTAACACTAGCCAGTAGTGAAAGTAGTTGGAGTAGTGACAGTTCCATTAGAATATGGTAACAGGCTTGTTGCAATTGTTTTCTTTTGGCATTAGTGCAGAAAAACAAAAACATGCTGTGTATCTCCCCAAGCTTGAAAAAAGAAAAGAATTGGGTTTTTTTGCCATGAGGGTGTGTTCAGGCTCTGTGTACATAAGGCACACACTTTCAATTACTGTCCATCAATGGCTGTATAGGGGATGTCAAATTGTTTAAAAAAAAACAAACAAACAAACCAAAGACAAACCATCATGCCAAACAGGGATCCAATTTTACTAAACACTGGTTTAAATCTCTGGTAGCAGCGCTATTTTACACTCTATCGGGATAAAAAAACTAAACAGAAATGATCCATCTTGATATATTAAGTGAGACAGATTTGAACAAGCTGAGCTACTTACTGACTCCATCAACCTCCGAGGATCCAGAGCCCCTCATCCTCAGGTACATGAGGCCCAGCAGCAGAAAGAAGAGGCATGCTGCCGTGAGCAGGAACATGGACAGGTAATGAGCGCTGAAGCTACCAGAGGAGGCCACCTCTTCCCTTTTGAACTGCTGGAGTAGCTCATCCTCCGGGACAGACAGCTTCTGCTTCAGCACTGCCTGGCTGTATGAGTGGTTGGGGGCGGTGTGATTGGAGTGGTTGCCCCTGTAGGTCTGGGACAAGCTGCTGTAGTTGGAGAAGCGCGGTCTCAACCCAATGCTGAACCTGCTGGTGCTGCTGCTTCTGGAGGCTCCGTGATCCCCGTCGACGTGGTTGTTTTTGCCGGCCTCTCCTCCATGGTTCTCGGCGAGGGACAAGTAGATGGACTTCTTGGGAAAGTTGTGGCTCCGCAAGCCTCCCGATGAGTCCGATTCCCTTCTCTTTATCTCGTCTCCCTCGCCCTCCTCCCTCCTCCTTCCCACCATGTTTATACTCTCAGGCTGGTTTGCGTCTCTGGCTGCCTCTCCCGTCAGAGACCCTCGGCCGACTCCGTAGGAAGGGAACGCCGCCGTTTTCGGGTGGCTCTGTCTCGGCTCAAATCTATCCCGTTGTCGGTCTCCGGCACCAAGGCCGCCAACCTCCTCCTCGTCAGAGTCTGAGTAATCCCCGGCTAGCTTGCTAGCGTTGAAGTGAGACGCCCCGCAACCATTTAAAGAGCGAGACCTCTTCTCTGTTTCCCCCTCAAAGTCGTCCTCGTCCCCCGATTCGTCGTAATCCTTCCCTTCCGCCTCGGGGCTGGATCTGGCACTAACTCCCCAACCCAGCGAGACACTTCTCTGTCCGTCCGGATCAGGGGAAGAATTGTTGCTGTTCAGCGCCCTCGCAGCGCAATACGGACTCTTGATAGCCACCCTCGTTGTTGTAATGTGTCTTATCTTAGATTGTTGTTGGAAACTAGAGCTTCGTTCCGTCCTGCCACTGTGATTGAGGCCCTTTCTTTTCAATGGAGTTTCAGCGTCAGACTCGTCGGAGCTGAAGCCGAGGACGGAGGACTTCCGGCCCGGTCTCCTGCTAGAGCTCAGGTGCGTGACGTCATGGCTGGCTGGCCTGGATCCCGCCGTGTTGCCGCCGCCAGTGCTGCTGTTGATGGCCCCGCCGCTACGGGTTTTTCCCGCTCTGGAGCCCCGCTGCTGTTGCTCTTCACGAAGCTTCTTCAATTTCTTCAAATATACCGGACGAGTGTTCTCGGTTACCGGGCCTGGAGTGAAACCAAAGCGCTTTAATTCGGAGAAAAGCTCCTCATCCGTTAACTGCGTTGACGCCATCTTGGACAAAACTCTCGGAGAAGGTTGTGAAGCGGAAATTACGTAAGGGTCAAGTGGCAGCTGGGTTGCGTTCAAAATCAACTGCAGGCTGTTTATAAATAATAACGCTCAAATTGTTAGTTATGAGGAATTTCTTACCTATCTATTACATATAACGAAAATAAAAAGGTAATCAATGCTGTTCCTATTGTGATTCTATAGTTGACTACTCTGAACAACAAGAGTTAGGCCTACAAAAATCAGAAATGTCATTCTCTGTAAATGGTATAGATATTCAAAACCATAAATGTTTCAATAAACATATATGTAATTATTTCTACAGCACAAGGAGGATTACTCCACATGGTTTTTGTTTGTGTAGGACTATTTTTTGTATAAGATTCAGTGAAAATCCTGACTTTTTCCATACACCGTCAAGTTGTTATTCCCAACCAATTACGAGAAGTACATTACAAATTTGTGCATATATATCTCACTAAAACTTACATTGCAAGATTTACAGATGTCCCCAATAAATGTGATTTTTGTATACATGAAGAAGACACAATAAAACATGTTTTTTAAAATGTATATTCAAAACAGCAGTGTTCTGCAGAAATGGAAGGATTATTTCCCTAATCAAACTAATTAAGTTGGAAGCTGAGGATATAATTTTATATATTATGAAATAAGTAATTTCCCATGTTGAATTCTCCCATTGAATTATTTGGAAGTCATGTTGAGTGTGTTAAAAAATAAAATAAAAATGATCAATTTAATCATTACTAGTTACTTACTACTTACTTTGAATCACTAGCTACACATTTTGATTAGGAGTTACTCATTAATTAATGGTCCACTAGCAGTTCCTGATACCTCATATGTGCCTTGTAACTTCTTAAAAAGGTTTGTCCTTTTTTGTAAAATGTTAACATTCATTCATCCTGTTGTTTTTCCATTTAATGGACTGCTGGGAAAATACCACAGCAGCAATAGGAATATTAAAGTGAATTGGGACTGTACACCAAAGAAGTCAAACACAGTGTTGTCATGTTACTTCTCTTGGTAGATGCCTGTGCAGTAGTGCCACTATCTCCATTTTTACATATTGTCCTGAATGACACTGACTGATGTTGCCAGTATTTCCACGAGGGTGAAACATACTCCACAGAAGTAGGAAACATCACCATCATGAAGCAGTTCAATGTTATTAATCTCATGTCAGAGGGTAATGCAATCAAATGTTTCATTGCTTCATCCTGATCCAGATACGTGCACTACTGTACTTTACATATTTTGGAAAGCCTGTTGAAGTTTGGTGCTTGAAGGGAATTAATACCTATCATCACAGTTAGAAGAAGAAGAAGATATACTTTATTAATCCCCGAGGGGAAATGGTTTTTTTTCACTCGTTTTTTTTTTTTTTTTTATATACACACACACAGGCTGAATACACATTTCAATGCCACTTGTGGACATGCAGACAGGAGAAGAGAAATGTGGAGTGATGGGCTGCAACGTCAAACGCGCCCCATGAGCACTTGCGGATTAGGTGCACCTCGGCAGTGCACAGTGAGGTGAAACTGGCACCTCTCCAGCTTTACCAGTCCACACTCCGTATTTTGTGGTCTGTGGCACTTGAGCCAGCGATAACATAGCGGTGTGTATTTCTGCATTCAGTCATTTTCATAAAGCTCCGAAATTTGAAAGGAAATGGTGCTCTACCAAGCTTGTAGAATCAAATTCAATCTGGCTAAGATAGGTCTTTAAACATATAGAAAGGCCCTCTGTAATGCCATAGCAGCCTGTTATTCTGCTAATAGAAGAAAATAAGAACAACCACAGGATTGTTTTCAGCACTGTAGCCAGACTGACAGTCACCACTCTATTGAGGCAGTAGCATTAGGTAACTTATAAATAAGTCTTGTCATTATTTGCTGAAACTTTCACCGTGTCCTGACAGTAGTGCATGAGACAGATAATCTGTGAAAAAAATCAGGTTCCTGTCAGAATATAGTTAAAGTTTCAGCAAATATGACAAAAAAGTTACCTGCTGCAGCTTTAAGTATTTAATATTTTAAAGCCTGATGGTATGTGGACTACACTCCTTTAGAGAATAGGATAAAATCTGTGAGGTTTGCAAAAAATAAAAAAGCTCAGGACTGTGAGACAAAATGTATAATACTGATAATAAACGCATTTGTTTCTAATCCTGTGACAAAAAATGTAAATAGAAATAAAATATATTCCAAAACTCCAACAAAAACAAAAAATGGTCTTAAAAACATATCTCCTATACTTTTTTAAGCTGAAAACTATGGCAATCTTTATTTCTACATGATTGTGATAGCTTTATACAACAGAGTTTACAGCAGTTGAAGAGCAAAAAGAGAACAGCAATTAATCAACCAAACACAAAGACCTATCTGCTGTTAATCCAGTGCAAAACCAAGAGTCAATTTCATATCATTTGAGACACATACAACTGTTGTTTGAAAATAAAACAGATTGCATGTGGTCTTTTTATTAAATCATTTCTTAAGAACAGTTAGTTAATCCCTTGATAATATTTATCCATATCTTGATACACTGATACATATAAAGCCCAGATTTGACTCTTCACTAACTTCAGTACTACTCATTTTAGTGTTTCAGCTCTAAATCCCAAAAACTGTACACTACAACATAAAAATATGTACAATCACAGATCTGAATATACCCAGGCATGCACTTTAACTTCATTAAACTCAATGCGTGTCCTCTTGCTATTGTACACCATTAAAGCTGCAGTTGGTAACCTTTTTAAAAATTATTTAAAAAACTTTTTGTATTATTTACTTAAACTTTCACTATATCCAGACAGTAGTTCTTGACAGATAATTCTCCTAGTGTTGGCATTTACCAGAATCCCCAGAGCCTGAAAACAACCAATCAGAGCTGAGAAATATAGTTGATTGTTGAGTCTCATTCCCAGGAATCAAAGCGTTTGTATTTGACAACCTGGGAATGACACTCATCAGTTATCTTCAAGCCACTTACCCAAAGCATCTAGCTTTCTTGGCTCTGATTTGTTGTTTGCGGTCAGGCCCTGTGGATTCTTTTTTACAGACAGGACACAGTGAAAATTTCAGGCAATATGACAAAAAGTTATTTTTTATAAAAGTAACCTACTGTAGTTTTAACAGACAGCAGTGATATTTTGAAGGGAAGCACACAGATCAAATATAAACTACAAAATGTTGACCACACTGAAAACATTCAACAATAAGTTCCATTTGAAAATAAATGAGTGGAATGATAGAGCCGAAGAGATACTATTGGAAAAAAATACTTAAGTCCATACAATACACAAGTCCATGGCTCATTTCCACAGCTCAGTGCAGCAAACTGGTAAAGCTGGGCAATATCACAACAATATATACAGTACACAATAAAATACCTCAGTATTTCAAAGGATACGGCTGGTAAGATACTTATCGATCAAAACCAAGCCTGATATATGCGATTTCTCTGTGTCATAGAGCTCTATTGTAGTTTATTTTGAATCAATCTCACTAACATTGTCCTGCCAGAAATACTCACTAGAACACCAGGAGTGGATCTGCCACTGAAAATAAATAAATGTCTAACTGGGACCAAAAACACAGGATGAGCTGCAATTAGGCCAGGTGGGGGTGCTAGTAGGCTCTGTAGCAAATCATGTACTGTACTTTTAACTCACTGAGTTGGATTCTAATAGGATGAGTACATTTTGGTTTCAGAATTGACTTTATATAGATCTAATTAACTTAATACAAAAGCAAAAGATCAGCTACAAAAATTTGTTTGGTAAATAAACAGAAGCACACAGTACAGCTACCCGTAAACACAGTTTACCAAGCAAAACAGTTTCCCTCCCTAAAATCTCAATTTTGGTGAACTTCAGGACAGCAACACTCACTAAACAAACACAGCACAGTCTGTTAGAGCTGAATAAAGCAGTGTGAAGTGCTACTGCAGCTTTCAGTGCTTCTTCATAGAGTCAAGGACACGCAGGATGTGTAGGAAGAGGTTGACGATGTCCAGGTAGAGGTTGATGGAGGCCAGGATGTGCTCCTCAGGGGAGAGCTGCTTCATCAGCAGGTTGGTGTCATAGATGATGAAACCACAGAAGACCAGAGCCCCGGCTCCAGCCAGGACCAGCTCTGTGCTGTCACTGTTGAAGAAGAACTGCAGAGAGACCAGAAGAGGGGCTGAAGGCTTCACATTACTTTTGTGTGTTGTGTGAGAGATGCGAGCAATGTGTGGTAAAAGATTTTGAGTATCAGAGTTTTTCAATAAATGGCCACATATGTAGCATGTGATATTTTGACAACCCTGTTACACAGACATAGTGGGGAGGTCTGCAAGTTAACACTGTCAGGCACTGTCAGGCAGTTCCACTTACCCTCATGAAGCTTGCAATAATGAGGATCCACAGGCAGGCGAACAGTCTGTAAGGACAGAACAGATCAGATACAAGTCTGATGGTTGCTCCCTCTTGAGGAGGAATACAGCAGCCTTAGGGGGGGGGCACAGTAGTCTACCCACACCACAACAGCTTAAAAGTAAAAACATATAAGCACTAGATCAAATAACAAAGTTCGTCCAGCTCAACGCACCA